TCTCTGAGTAATAATTGAATTCATTCGCTAGTTAAAATCCCAAATGTGTTGTTTAAATATAAATATAAATAAATAGTACATAATATGATAGGGTACCACAGGTGTTTGACGTTAAAAGATAATTCCCATACTTCCTGCCTTTGTTAGTCGTCGCCATGTTTTACAAAACCTATTGTTATGCGAAATTGTACGTCTGTCTGTCACGGTTCAGAGGTTTAGACGGTTAGACAGCGAATGCAATGGAGTGGGGTTTGTGTTGGGGGAAGCGAGGAGTGTGAATGGTGGAAAGTATTATAGCAACTTGATGTAATGTGTAATGAATAATAAGTACCATCATATTCATGTACCATTTCCCATAGACAAGAGCTTAGAGAAGAGATTTGAAATCCTCAATCTTATGTACTACTTCTTTAGGGATTTTTGAGATATAAAAAGCTACATAATATCAAACCGTGTAATCCTCAATAACGGGTTACCTACGTGAAAATACTGCGAAAAAGTCTACTAGATTCGAGCCATGTGGGGGCTCTTCCGCAGCGTGTGTGATCGCTTCAGAAGAGCGCTCGGTGGCCCGAAACTAGTAGACCTTTTCTCAATATTTTCACTCGAGCAATCCCCGATTTTTAGTTATTTTAGTATGTCCTACGATAGTTATTATAAAAACAATGTAAGTCAGATTGCACTAGTTATATTACAAGTTCTATGTTATAGGGGTTAAGCCTATTGCCATACACTGGACACAAATCTAGTCTCCATGCTACTATTATATCTTTTTAAAAAAGCTCACCGATTCGTAGGTTTCATATACCATCGCGTTCGCGACCAACGACAAGCTATTCGTAATCTACTAAAGTACTCAAAGAAAATCGTCAACAGTTTTTAACTTTTGACCTCTCGTCGCATCTCTTAGACCATAGAAGCTAAAGAGGATTATAAAAATAGTTGCATCATCGACATTTACCTCTATATCATTGAAATGATGCTTAAGATGTATACAGTGTTATTGCACGTCATCTTATTTTAAATCGACATGCATAAATGTTTTTCAATGTATAGGTCGAGTGTCTGCGAAGTGCATACCAAGGTTTGGTTCCTGTGTTTTTTTTTGTAAAGGTGTTTTTTATAGGAGTATGCAGAGGTGCACATTACGGCACTTAATGCCATTGGACAATGTACCACTCACTTTCACTATTTATTTTATGAGTCGCATGTAACAGGGGTTGAGCCTATTGCCATTTACCAGGCACAAATCCAGATTCCGTGCTACAGTTAAGATTTTTTTAAATACTTTACTTTAATTAGTACTTTGCCTGACCCGTGATTCGAACCCGAGACCCCTTGCTCAACAGTCGCACTTGCGACCACTCGAGGCAGGCAGGCATAATAAATTATAATTGGCCAATATTAAATGTTACAATCGATAGGTGCCTTTATCTAATCCTTAAGGAAAATGATGTAATCTTATGTTATACATTAAATGTTAAAAATCTCTAAAAGTACTTCCAGTTTTACATTTTTGATTGTCTTATTCCTCGTTTGGTAAAAACTGAACAATTTTGAAAATTATATGTTAAGAAACACGTTCTTCTGACATTGCAAGGTCAAGAAGATAGACACGTTATTTTATGTTTTTACTAACTAAATGGCATGATAACACGGCCGTGACACAGTTGTAAAAACGGTTATTTGAAATGCTAATACCGATGATAACGTTTTGTTTCATAAATTAAGTGGCACTTAATTTTATGAGTGCATTTTAAGCATTCGTTTTAAACGTATTATGTATCTTCCAAAGATACTGTTGCAAGCTTCTAAAAGCGTTATACAATACTTTTAACAACATGTGATAGAAGCCACTGGTAGTAAACTAATTGCAATATACACAAATATTGAATTTTTTTGGTTTGCTGATAGTTATGTACTTTTAATTCAATGCGTCTAATGTGTAAATCCGATGCTATATAACGCAGTTTTTTAATGTTGTAATTGTTTAAAAAAATGGCACCGTATAAGCTACAGAATAATGACGAACGTACCTAATATACACAGAATAACTATATCGTGTCTTTTATCTTCGGAAGAAGTAGGTACAGATGTGCACTTATTAATTATACCTGCATTTAGTTGTGCCGCGGAGAACGTAAACGGTTACCGGGGCTCCGGCTCGAAGTGCAGGAGTAGGAACGGGGTGGTTTTTAGTCCGTAAGAGTTTGACACTTCCTCCCGCCTCACCCAGACGATTTTCCCTCCGAAGTAATTCGATGATTTTCCCCCCTTAAAAAAAATACTTGTATTTTGTTATACGCTCCTGTATAATAAGAACAATTCTATAGCCGTACACCGGGCACAATTTATATCAGTCTATGCGCAATTATTGAGAACAATTAAACCATCTTTAAAGTCAATTATTTATCACTAACTGACTTTAAAATGTCAGTCAAGTCATCAAGAATCAAACAATACCGCATCACCTGCTTACTAGCCAGTTATAAGTGTCAATTGTGGACAATACGCCATTGCATTACAGTTCAAAGACCAGGTGGTGAAAACAGGTGATCGCATCTTTGAATATGATACGTTTTTGCATGATGTGCAGCTGTTTCGCGAAGTGCAGTAGGCATGGTGCTATTAAATGCAAATTGAGGATTAAGTAGGAAATGGAGTGCACAGGTGTTTTTCGCTTTTGTTTATTTGTTGTTGGTTGAGTAGATTGTCTGTCTGTTGTGCAAGGGATTTTGGATTCGATGGTAGGGTGTTAACATACTGTTTTTTTCTTGGTTCATTAAATTTGAATACTTTCGGAATATTGAGTTTGGAAGTATTTTGGGCTTGTTTGAAAGTTTGATTTGATTTTGATAACGCCCGAAGGCTACAGCAATCAAGTGTTGATTGGCAATCGAAATATTTTGGACTGAGTTGGGTAATCTCCAGGATATGTTTTGCAGGTTTTTGAACACAAAGAGTTTCATTGTGTTGGTTTCATTCTGGTTAATTAGTTGTAGACCAATCGGTCATACAGTAAAAAAACTGCGTATAAAATATGACTACATTATAAAGAACATTTTAATAAAGCCGTTGACATTTCAAACTGATATGAATACACTAAACCTCATTTATACCTACTTTAGAACTCAGCTTGCCATCACAAAAAATAAAGTCACAAAAAATGTGAACAAAAAATTGTCACATTGATGCGGGTGATGCCCACATCGAGACGAGATACGACACAACTTGCGATCCTGATAACATCATGTCATTGGAGAAAATATCTTGTGGAGGTCACAAATTTTGAATAACAATATCTATTTTTTTAATCATAAGGAAAAAAATGCCGTCAAATGGTGTACAACAAAGAATTGAAGTACTTATCTATCTATTTGTAGGCAAATCTATATGTATAAAAATGAAACCCGTTTCCCGTTGTCACGCCATAACTTGAGAACGGCTAGACCGATTTGGCTGATTTTTTGGCGGAGAAGGTTCTTATGACAGAAAAAGTCCTGAAAATTCTACGGGAACTGGAGAAATCGGGATTGCGCATACAAAGTCGCGGGCAGAAGCTAGTATTTTATATATTTGACAGTCACGTCTTGTTGTTGGTCAAGTAATCATATTATTATGTTCGATGGTTGGATATGATCTGGTTTTTTTACTCCATACTCAGGAAAACACAATTTTTCTATTTCAAATTTAGAAATATTAACAAATTTTTTTCAAGTTTAATACAATCCATTGAAAAATACAAGGTGTGTTGTTATTTTAGGTATCTGGTATTTTTATATCATCGTTATAGCTGATTCTGTTCATCAGTTAACTCTCTGTTACACATAATACTCTGTGGCAGGCAGGCAGGTGTTACACACAGCAGATGTTTGGATGTCGCGTGAAAGCGATACGATGCCGCATGTGATACTGTTTGTTGATCATATCGATGTGATATTTCAGTTTCATTAGTGCGGTTCTTGTAGTTTATAGTGGTAGTTTAGACGCAGTTATTTTATGTGTAATATTATATTTGCTGTTGTAATGTTGAAAATATGGTTGAAAGTGGGTTTAAAAATTAATTATTTTTAATTATTGTCAAATTGATTTTTTTAAAGTAACCCTGAAGTCATTTTCTCGTTCATCTCCGTAACAATCTACATTTTGAAATAGCCAAATAGGAATATAAGTAAAATATGGAACTTTTGAATATTTATTATTATAAGAATAAAATAAATTAACATTTTTGTTTTCTTCGACAGGAGGAATGGGCAAAGATCTCAGAAATCATGGCGTCGTTTGGTAGCAAGCTCGTCCGAGAGTCAGTTTTCGTATCAGAATTGGAGCAGGAGTTCACTTCCAGACTCGGCCTAAGCTGTTCCGAATCCAGCCTGAGCCCATCTGTGGCTTCGAACCTTGGACTGTGGCTGTCTGGCATGGGACTACATGACTATGAAAGTTTGTTCCTAGAAAGCGGCTACGATGATATTGATTTTGTTGTAAGTATTATAATTATGGTGAAAATACACATATTGTTTAAGTATTTCATTCATTTTGTGCCTTCAGCTGATATCATTAAAGTTTAGTATAAAATGATAGCATTCATTATCAACAAAAAAAAAACATATTTTAACAAAAACACAACTAATAATGATCATTTGTTACAGAACGGTATCCTAGACGAAAACGATCTCCGAGAAATGGGCATAGAAGAGAATGATAGACAAAAAATACTAGAATCAGCTAAACAATTACCTCTTAAAATAACTGAAATAAGCAATAATCATAACAATAACAATATAAGTAAGAGCCAAAACGAATCTGTAGAAGAATGGCTGAGAAATATTAACCTAGAACAATATAGTGATACTTTTAGAAAACATTTGTATGTAGATATGGATAGAGTGAGGAGGATCTGGGAGGTAGAACTGACGGCTGTGCTGGAAATCCAGAAGGCTGGACATAGGAAAAGGATTCTAGCGTCAGTATCTGGACAGCATAATGGACCTGCTAATCATATGGAGGATATTAACGCTGATCTCAATACTTTGGTAAGTGATACTATTGTTAAAGATCCAGAAAAATCTTTACCTAATATTTACGTAATAAGTACATAATATGATGCTATGGAAAATGAAAATACTATACAAGACCTTGATGATGTCAATAACCTTAAGGATAGTAGCTTTAATTTCATGATTGATTTGGTTTTAGACAGGTACTTACAAACAATGCACAATAAGATGGCATTACCATGATTATTCCGTCCCCGATCACCTTTGATGCCATGCTAATAATGCAATTATTTCTTGATTTCCAAGAATTATATTGAGATCAGTTTTTATTTTAAACGATGATCATTGTCCCCAGTTAATTTATTATTAGTGACCCATCTCAGCTTCACACAAGGGGATTTTTTGAGGGTCTTTTTTTTAAAGGAGGGAAAAATCATCGAATCTCTTCTCCCGCCTGGGTGAGACGGGAGGGAGTGTCAGACTTACTGACTAAAAAACACTGTTTGAAGTTCTAGGTAAATAAATAAGCTGTCCTACCTTTGTCTATTAGCTATTATTTTTACTTCAATACGATAGTATTTATCGTTTTATTCTTAAAGTTAACTTCTACGTTATTATAAAACGATTCTCTCTACATCAAAATGTTAATTTTCCCTATCCAATTCCGATTTAGATTAGTAATATAAACACGTCGTGACCAGTGTCGATTACTTTACGGAAATCGGTCGTCGCGCCGATCGGTATCGACGCCTCGATAGCGAACACCAAGTGCATACAGATTCATAACCATAACCACACCAAAATGAAACTAATTAAAAACGATTCGACAATAATTAGGGTCGCCAAATCCGTTCCCGAATTATTCTCTTGAATGCCGTTGGAGTCAAAACCGCAGTAGTAACAGTCATTAAAGAAAAACAAATGTATGATAATGGATAGTTAATAAATGATCATGGGAATCACGAAGTTGGATGTCAACACCGTGCATACTAATGCACGGTTTCCCATAGATTGTTGATCGGACGCAAGAGAAAGCCATTACCACACTGATGTTGTAAAGTAGTGCTATAAATATTGTAAAAAGAAACACGTAATGGAATTTGGAGACGGGCCGTTGACGAATTCTAAGTGGATTGATTGATTGCTATGGTAGACGAAATGAGGGCAACGTTTTTGGTGTAAAATCATGTTGGATAAGGCGTCTTATGAAGTAAAAGTTGATGTAGGTTTTTGATTGTTCGTTTTTAGGTTTTGTTTCCGTAAGACATTGGTTAGTACCGTAAGATTTACTTTTTTAATTTAAACTTTAACTAAAACAGTAACAGCATCATACCAGATCCTTAAAACAACACTAACAACTTTTTGCTAATTTTCACTAATAAAACTTTGGATCCCTTATAAAGAGAACACTAAAACCGAATCACCCAGACACATCAAGCTCCTCATTTCAATCTCAGTCTTTAAGAAACCGACACCAGATGATATCAATAAATCAAATACACAAGATACCCCAGGATGGTTCAATCTGGGCAATGAAGTGAACAATTCGTTCAATCAAAAAGCTTATAAAAAGGATATCCTCACAACGAAGCGGCAATTGTATGCGACAGGGTGTTGCCATGTTGTAGAATTCAATGAAACTGCTCATGCGATTCATGATATGGAAAGGGTGAGATGTGTGCTCATATTGCTGGTGATTTGGGTGTAATTGGACTTTTAGCTGCATTTCTTTTTTCGTAAATGATTGTAAATGAAATGCATTATTCATCAATTCTTTAATAGATATTTTAAGTAACAACAAGCTTTACATACTTTTGAAATATAATAGGAGAGGAATCTTTTAGCCGGACAGTGGTTAGACTTATGAATAAATTAAAATGGATTTAGAAAAGATAGACGAAAATACAAATTTCCCTGAAGGTATGTTTAATTGTTTATGCATCTATATCGCGATTTAACAAACTTTTAAAACATCATATAGTGAATTTTTAAGCCCCAAAATGAATGAATAAGTAAAAACACGGTATAAGTATCATATAATGGCTCCATGACTCCAAATTAATCGCATCCCAAAATTAATCACGGTTTTTGAGCCTAAAATTGACCACCGTATCAACGATGCAGGTGCATACTTATTGCACGATGATTGCCAATTTATCGCAAGCACATCCTTTAGCCGTGTAAGGCTTAATATTATTAATATGGGCCCCACCTGCTGTACCCCGCCTTATGGCTTTCATATCATATGTTTTAGGCTTATTTGGATTTAAATCGGCCGTTTATATAAATGTTTGTGTGGAAAGTAGTTGTGGATTACAGTGCATATTAAATAATGAATATTAAACTGTCAAACACCAAGCGGTCACCGGTGACCGCGACCTATTGTTCTTTAATTGTGTCTATAAAACCGGTACTCGACGAGTTAAATGATTTCTGGAAGTAATTCAGTAGGTACTTTTTCGGTTGATTGAATAAGCACTCAGGGATATCTGTGCTATAGTGAATTTTTATTTTTATTCAATTATTGGGCGGTTATTTGGGTTTGCTGTTTATGAAAAGACAGTTTATTGGCAGTACAAGGTTTATTTATGTCAAATCCTTTCAAGCAAGAAAATTTAAAGTTCCATCCGTCATATTTATGTTTACTGCCTATTTAAAACATATCAATCCAAAAAGACCACTGTGACACTTCAAGTTTCATTTTTCGCCTCCATTATTAGTTGCCCTATCCATCCATCTTGCACTTAAAGTGACTCCAATAAAATGCCAAACACATTGAGTGTGTCTTGTTCTTTATTATCGTGACACCTGGTAGGGTGTTGCCTGGCTACCCCCCTACCACACGTGCGTGATGATAATTAGCAGGCAGATGAGCAATTTAACTGGGATTAACTGGTTTAATCTCGTCACATGTAAGCAAGGTTTGATGAGGCGCCGAAATGAGTTTTAAATATTCGGTTTGTGTGCAAAGGGATAGATATATGTAAGTACTTCTGGGGTCGTTCAGGTGTATTAATTCTGTAATTAATAATGCACCCCAAGACTGTTATTGGGGTGCATTTTTTGGTAGGAGATATATATCTCTTTTAAACAAAGAAAGACAGATGAAAGAAAGATATAAGTAGACAATACTAAGACTTGTATAAGTACCTAGTTATGGGTTTTATTTGATTGTCTGTTTATGGGATAAGCCGGGAAACGAGCAGACGGATCATCTGTTGATAAGTTATCGGCGTCGCCTATGGACACCGGGAACACCAGAGGTGTTACCAAGTGCGTTACCGCTCTTTTAGGGATTAGGAGTTTGAGTATTGTTGGGGATTCAGGTATGGAGGGAAGATTGGAGAGACGGAAAGGTAATAAGGCTTCCGGTAACCTCACTCACACGATGAAATACAACGCAAGCGTTGTTTCACGTCGGTTTTCTGTGAGGCCGTGGTATAACTCCGGTCGAGCCGGCCCATTCGTGCCGAAGCATGGCTCTCCCACACTACCCTTATGCATACGCGTCTCTTATGGATACAGTTTGTTGGGCATATCTATTAATTTCATAGACCAAGCGTAGTAGGTGTTATTTTAAATTTTAATACAATCAAATTTAGGTTTATAGTCAAGTACTGCCTAAGCTATTTACATAAGTATTTGGCGCAGAGGTACACGCACCTAATACTATGCTACCACTATTCGCACATAATATACATTTTCTGATGTATCATATATTAAGTGTCTGATGCTATTAATATAGAAACATACTCACATAATTCTACATTATAATTGAGAATGTGATACTAGATACACTTAAAAACATATCTGCATAGAAAAAACCATCAACATCAACAACCTATAAGTGCCTACTGCTGACCAAAGGCCTCTTCTCACACGGAGAAGGTTTGAGCATTAATGACCACGCTTGCTCATTGCGGGTTGGCGATTTCAAACTTAGAAATTATAAACCCAGGGTTCCTCACTATTTTCCTTCACCGTTTGTCAGTGGTGTCAGTTCATATAACTCAGAAAAAGTCACATTTGTACTTGCCGTTTGTAGGTTTTGAACGCGCATCCTCATGAATAGCGGGCGTCTAGACCAACGGGCCACTACGATACGAAAAAATCATTATCCACAAAAAAACATTCATACACAAGCCGCGCTAATTCACTACGACCACAGATTCACGTATAGCTGCCATTTTTTTTAATTTCACACGTCGCCAACTCTGTATAGGTAATTAGTGCTCAATTTCTCGACTATTCAGCTCGTATTCACTGGGAGTACCCCACTCTCACTCGCGGAGGGAAACGAACCCGAACTATGGTTTCCTTGAATATTTAATTTTTTTTTTTTTATTATTAGTCTAGCTAGAATATGACTTCTAAACAAGAGGTTTCGATTTTCATTCTTTAATTAGGAGATAATATTACTTTACTTGTTTTGTCGATTTTCTATAATTACTGTCACAGCTAAGTATTAGTACAGCAGCTGTAGCCAAATGCCATTTAGCGCTTGTCTACATGTAGAATAGATAACCAAATTATATGGAGTTGACGTAAATTTTGACACTTGTCAGTGTCATCCCCATACATTTTGATTTCTACTCTCTCTGTAGACAAGCGCTAAAGTGGCGTTTGGCTAAAGGCCCCAGTTATGCGTTTGTGACTTGTTCCACAGTGAAAAGTAAATTTTGCTTAATACATGACCCTCTGATTATTTCTTCGACGACACACTCTTTAGGTTAGGTAAAGGCAATGTTTTGTTACCTACTAAGTGCAATAGTTATGTTACATAATATCAGTAAATATAAAAATTGCTGTAAAAATAGAAAAATTCTAAAGCCGCACATATCACGAACAGAATAATGTTTGAAACTTGAATTCAATACAATAATAATATACAACAAATTGAAAATAAATGTTTCATTGTAAAGTATTTATTAATTAAACAATCACCAAAGACTTTATTCACCCATTTCTTCTGTTTCCGGACAAATAACTAAAACCTTGTCAATGTCATCACAAAAACAGTAGCTCGATTAAACAATTCAGTACTTATCTCTATCTAATCTTGTTTTTATATCTTTGAATAAATGTTGTTTGATACGATACGATTATAGAACTGAGTTTTTTAATGGAAAAATTTAATGAAATGATATGTAGTAGGTATATGCGTCTTACTTATCGATGGATGACAAAGTTAGAACACAAAATGCGAATGATTTATCGATACTATGACATATTTTGGGTTTTGAGAATAAAATCATTAAGCAGTTGCATACAACTGCTTAATGATTTTATTATAATTAGATAAAGTCTTTACAGAGTGTATTGCTATTAATACAATAATTAGTATTAGTATAATGCTTTTAAAAGTTAGGAAATTATATACTATTAAAAGGTTTCAAAAGTAAAAAAAAAATGTAAGATGTTGTTCAAAGTAGTTCACATAAAAACAACGCAGAATACCCACCCACACAAATTCTACAAAGCAAGATCATTGGTGGTCCCCAACGCACTAATAAAGCAGTTACAATATTTTATCTTGTACCTAGAAACTACACAAATAATCTAGACCGAATATTAACATAAACTTGTAATAAAATGAAAACCGGTTGCGGCGGCGGTGAGTTCGCAAATTGCTAGTAGGGGCATGCTCCACACTATATCATTCTATTCGAGTTTATTCTGCTGGAACCTGGCCCTTTCATACTCGTACGTAGTTTTTACCAATGACACCGTCAAATATGATGATTCAATTATTTACTTCTGAACCTTTCATTGCCTTAATTAAAATTTTACGCCCACTGGCAATGTTTTTAATTTACCCTCTCGTTTTGTTTTGCACCTCTGAAGTGTGAATCCCTGTGTAAGTGACACTTTACGTTTTGTTGCATATTGTTCTTTGGTGCTGTTTTTTTTTTATTTAATTAGAGTTATTGAGGGGCGAGGTGTTCGTAGGCGTCGAGGGTGCCACTTTTTATTGAAATCTAGATGTCTAACTATTGTTTGTTTGTGTTTCTATATGTGAATTACATATCTCGGTTTGAACGTATACCGTAAGATTTTGTTTAGAAAACTTTTAATGCGAGGTATAAAAATATAAAATTGTAATGTATTTGCAAACTAACTAGCATCTTCTTTCTCCTTCTAGAAGAGCAACATACAGCAGCTAAAAGAAGAAATCAAAGAAAAGTTACCACCTTCAGAAAATTTGAAACCGGTTCCACCTCCCGTTGTACCTACATTAGCGCCGCCTGGTGGTGAGACCTTAAAGCGCAGCAAAAAGAACAGGCCTGCTCCTCAGCCACCAAGACCTTCTGACTTGGAGATCAGAGCACCATCAGAATTGCTGGTTGGAGTACCAGGGGCGCTGAAAACACAGTGGAAACATCAACCGTTCGTGCTGGTTACAGGGGCTGTGACTTACGTAGCTAATGTGAGTGTTTTGAAAAACATTATTCTCTGAAATATTTTATTATAAATCTTCTATATAGTAAAGGAAAAAGCAATAAACGGTTTTATGTAATTCTATTTCTTTTACCACAGTACCTAGGATCAACGGTGGTGAAGGAGCTAAGAGGCACGGAGTCTACGAAGAAATCAATCCAAAAACTGAAGAAGTCTACCAAAGAACCGAGGGATTCTCCTGACATCATCCTCTCAATCAGCTATAGGGGTGTCAAGTTCCTCAACACTATCACCCGGGTAAGTCCACTTTAAATAAATATAGTAAGCTTTTTTATGAAAATAACTCGTAATACAAAAGGAAAACTAACTCATGCAAAGACTTGACCTTTCCATTTACTTTCAACATCCAACGAGATGAAAAAACTTTAAAAGAATAACGATCTTGTATCTTTCCTTTAAACTACTCCAAAGTTTGTAGTTCCAAACTTTTTGAGACTGTAATGGTCTTTGAAGATCACTCGAGTGAAAGGCAGCAAACATCCCGGGGCTTGCACAAAGGACCTCGAAGACCCTGACTCCTGCCTGATTTTTAATTACGGCTCATTCTTCACACTTGATCGGACCGATGACCAATCTCTTCTTTGTGTTTCTTAAAAAAAGGATTGTTTTTTCTCTCTTCCCCTTTTTGTACAATGAATTTTTATGTTAGAACTCTTCACGGTTAGTTAAGTGGGATAATTAGTGTTTTTTCAATGTTTATGCTTGCGAAGCACGACTGAAATTTAATTTGGACTGTTTTTTTTACGTAAAAAAGAGTAAAATATTGTTCGGGACAGCGTTCGTTAAAAAAGTCCGGCGTTTTGAATTTCGACAGGTTGAAAGCGTTTTCGGCTGGTAAACGATAGGTTCACTACTTTTTAAGGATCACAAGTTTCAGTATGTAAATGTTTTTAATTAGAGTCGCGAAAAAACATTTTTGTAACGAGTTTCGTAGATTCAAATAAAAAATGGTAGCTTAAACTATTTAAGTATATTTATTTTTATCGTTCTATATTTTCATTTAGAACGATTTCGTTCCTCTTTTATCAAAAAACACTATCATTTTACTTATGTCATTTTTCTCCAATATCAGGAGTTGGTGTGTGAGCATGAGATTCGCAACATCCACTGCGCATGTCAGGACGCTGATGACTTGACTCACTTTGCATACATCACCAAGGATCACACCAGTCGGAGCCACTACTGCCACGTATTCAGAGTTGCGACTATGGTGAGCTTTTCTTAGTTATTTAGTGTCTTATATTTATTCTTTTTCTAGGTTTAAAGTTTTTGTTACTAAAACCATATCATAACTATTTTATCAGCTACAAAACATTAGCTGAACAGCTCAACATAAGCCTTCCCCAAGCATAGGCCTCCACCACTAAAACCATGTATTAATGAAAGCTTATTTGTATTCCAGGATCAAGCCACAGAAGTAATTCTAACACTAGGCGAGGCATTCGAAGTAGCTTACCAAATGGCACTAAGGGAGCAATCCAACAGGACCAGAGTGACCCAATCTCTAGCCAAGACTCCGACTCACGACCCAATGACCACAACCAACAAGGAGAAACCAAACGTCAACCACGGTAGATCACATTCCATAACCGAGATCAAGTTGAATGGACATCAGCTGAAGATTGCTCCACTACCAGCTTCCTTATCCAATGAGGACTTCCAAGCGTCTTCTAGAAGCACTGATGGCTCTAAAAGCCCAAGAACTCCACTCCTCAAGGCGCCCATAGCATCTACCGAAGAATTGTGAAAGCGAAGGTAAAGTTAACTAAACGGCTTTAGGTCATCACTATCGACTTCCAAAAGGATGATATTGATCTAGTAATAGTTTACATTATAGAAGTTTTTGATGTTGATTAATTTGGCTAAAATGTTCATGGAATTGTCTTCCCGGAAGATAAGCTTCCTAATGTAATGGAAATTTTAAATGTAAACGAAAATAATAATGATATAAATCTAAATGTCTCGCCTTTAAACGTTGTTGAAATTAAGACGAACATATTGGATTTGTGTAAAAACCAAAAAGTATTGTAAGTGTCTGTTAATCTTTAGCAGTTTTTATACTAACATTTTTTTTATGCAGTTAATGTGAAAGGAAGCTGGGTTTGTCTAGTTGAAAATGAAATTTTGCAATTGTTTATTGATATTACTCGAATTTTGAATCGATATTTTAAATAGGTTCGGAGGTTAGTGTTAATTTGAGGTTGGCACACATTATTGTTAGATTAGTAATATTAAGGTACTAAGTAATTTTATTACGAACGAAATTATGGTTTATATGTTATTGTGTTCATTTGATATTGCTCCAAACGCATTCTTTTATCTTTAAGAATATTTTTAATAGATAGGTACGTTGAATTTTTTACATCACGAATAAAATTTTGCAATAATGTCGGCTCAATCATAATGTGTGGCAACCTCGTTTGGACCAACTTGAAAATTACCAGAAATATATAGTTGGTCTAAATAATAATGTGTTAAAATATAACTATTTGTATATCAATTTCGACACTGCTTTTACGTACCATAACCTTATATATACGAACTTATTGTATAATAATAATAATAAAATAGTTAAAATAAACAATTTTACTATTGAATAGTAAAATTCTAGGGGCTGTTATATTTATATATAGTAGGTTTTTATTGATTGTATATTTTTGTTTCGTAGTTGTATGAGTATATTATTTTAGTGCAGCTGTATAAAATGTGTTCCAGTAATGCGTTGAAATATACATTCTTTACAAATTATATTAAACAGCTTTATTGTATAAATAGTGAGTTTTGACCTCATTGGGCTCTGCTTATTTTGTTGAATGAAATATAAATATGTAGTATGATATTTGCCCTATTTAATACCAAGAGGGCAACCAATGAGTTCAATGCTGGCTGTATAGCTCGTATAATTTTACGCGTTTTGGAAAATATTTGATAATTTGGGTAGGCCTAACTATAAATATAATCTCATTTAGCATAGCGTTACGTTACCATTTTCGGTGTCGTATATATTTAAAAATGTAAATAGTTGTATTATTAAGGGATTCAATAATTATTATGAAAATGGGTTGTTGATATTGACACAATCTTATGACGAAAATAAAGCGAATACGCCTAAAATAACATATAGTACATAAAACATATCAAACTGATGTTACATGTTATTTAAAAGCCAATTTAGCTAGATCTCTACTATATATGATTTACGAAGCAAAGTTTTGTGATTCGCTTGCATGTAGAGGCCTATTTAAAGTGGTCGGCAGTTTGTAATTTTAAAATTGAGCTTCCGATGTTAATTTTGCAAGTAGTTTTATCGAGTTAAAAAGTACATACAATAAATGTGTCTCAAAATGACGAAAAAAAAGTATTTTGAAATTATTCATGTTTTCTTCAATTTACGGCAACTGTTTGCTCAAGCCAGTGGCGTTTTGCAATTGTTTTTAAATAAATGTTCGCTAATTTTAAACGTTTTTAAAATTGTACTCTTTTTGTTGTCGTACGAAATTGTACATGTCAAAGTTATGACGTCATAATGTGACAGTTTCGACATTCAACTAGATTTTGACGTAAAATGGTGTGTATAAATTATGCAATGTGACGTCATATTTTTGTCATTTTTAAGTCTGACTATTGATTTGAGATTTGTGTATCCATGTGATAAAAAGTAAAAAAAATATACAAATTATTATTGTTTCTTTCATTTATTACCTGCTGCTTTTTAATTATTATTTGTATGTATATGTGACACGGCTTTATAAATGTTATTAAAATTTAAAATTATATTGTCATATATCTAGATTTATCTATCGATGTTCGGTTTAATGGTGTAGATTATATCAATATTTATATAATAATAATAATAGTTGATAATGATAATAATTGTAGCTATATAAAATTGTGCCAAAACGCAATATTACAGGTAATAACGCCAATATACAAACCCCATATAAAATTTCCGTTAAATCGAAATTGCTCATGAATAACACCAAAATGTTTTTATCAGATTTTTCTTGTTTTTATAGATTTTTTATTACATTTATTATAGTATTACCGTCCTTTTTTATTATTGGAAATTTTCACCGACAAGAACAATTTCAAGTAGATTTTGTACAAGTTTTCAATTCGTTTATACAAGTTGACACGTTTTTTAAGTAAATTGACATATTTTTACACGTTGACTTGATGTTAATAAAATATGTCTGTTACATTTTTAAATGTAGAAAAACAATGGTGTGAATATTCGTTATGGGGGCAAAATGAAATGAAAATAATTGACCTCAATAAAATGAACCCTGCAACAAACTAGCTAGACATAGTAAGACACTGGATGTATACCAAAGAGATATATAATATAGTAAATAGATCGCAACTCAATAATTATGATTACATTATATATTATAAGTACCTGTACCGTTAATTATACAAACTGAGAATATATATAATAATCACTGCCGCAGAAATATAAGATTTTCGTATAAATTAGAGCTTACATTTTTATAAATTTATATGTTCTTCAATGTAAATACGAATTAATTTATTAATTACTTTCATTTAACTCTGCAAGTCTTCATTTAATTTTTGTGCTTATTTAAATGAAGTTGAATAAAATGCTTCCTAAAATACCTAATTATCTATGTACGGTAGAAAGTTATTGGTTGTGTATCGTTATTAATTTATTTAAATGTAGTATTACAAAAATATATTGTAGTTCAGAACATTTGAATATTATTGTAAATACCTATCTATCTATAATGACATTATATTCAAAATTCAATAAACAGTGAAATATATTTGGCTTCTTATTTACATGCTTTATGCTTTTTAGTTTTTTTTTTATTTATATTTTGTACCTAAATAACAAATGAAGTAAGTTTTTCGGCTTACTCACGTAATTATTTGACTAAATCGAAAAACATAATAATTAATTTAGTATATCCCAACGAAAGTTATAATATAAACAAATGAAGTACCTGTATTGATAGTACCTATAATTAACAGTACCAAAAATCCCATTACATCGAGGTTTTTGTTTTAAAGAGAAATGAGCAAACCTTAAATCATATCTGTTGTGGATGTGAGGAAGTAAAGATGATGAAGTGTGAACCGCAAGAACCGTAGGTACTTCGCATACATGAAGAATATCATATAAGTTTTTTAAATAACAACAAAAAAGCCTATTTGCTTGTTTACTCACGTACTCATGTTATAATACAATATTTGAGATTGGTTCCCGAGTTCCATTCTTGGGTTAAAATAATTACGATGCGATGAAGATGACGGTGTGTATTAGTTCCTCCATTTTATTTACGAAGCTGTTAATGCTCTCTCTATGCACTCTACATAAATTACATTTGAAAATACACAGAGACGAAGTTTATATACCATAAACAAGATACCTAGCTACTGTTAACTTTAAGGAGTTCCCTCAACTTTCATACAGATTACAAATTCCGTTTACAAATCTTCTTTATCATCAGACCCTTATTGACAGTACTAAATTAAAAAAGCTACACCGACTTCAATCTAGTCAAATGAGATAAGTACTCGTTAGAGTTTACCCGTTTACAGATCTTCTTTCAATCTATTTGAATAAATAAATCGAGAGAAAAATGTCTGGATCCCTCTCATCAATCGCAATTACAAACTGCTACTGAACAACAAAGAGAAAAACAACAAAAGCAAAACAAAATCCAATTAAAAAAAAACACGAAAATCATAACTCATTCGCACGGTACACGCAGAAAAACCAAACAAATCCAATAATAAATTTTCTCCGTTAGAAACGGCTAAAAAACGGCTAATTATTTTTGCACCATTAGCTTAGCCGAAAAAAGGTTGAATTTTAAGCGTCATTTATTAATCTTGGTTTGGCACGGTTTGGCACGGTCGATTAGCCGTGAGGGATGGATCGGACCGATCCGGGCCGGTACGTGGCCGGACACTTTAGATCAAAGATAAATAGCCAGGTTGTATTGGATAATGCTTCGTCATGGTGTAAGGGCATAGCTAAATGAATGTAGAATTGCTTAGAACTTGCTTTTAATGTGACAACTGATTCTATAAATCGTATAGGACAATTGGCATAATTATTGGCTTCTTGTGACATCTGGTTCCGACGGCTTTGCACTCTCTTTGAATTTTTGAAACTATCTTTACGAGCTATCAAAATTTTAGTCTTCGGGAGGAATAATGTGCTGTATTTAAACTTACAAAGAGGGTATAAACATATCGAGCCCATGATCAAGCCACACAACCCAAAATTACCTATATAAGTCAAAAAGTCTAAAGAAAATTTAGACATTAATTTTCTTTACTTTTTGACAATACTATATATGAAGACAATAATGTAGAAGTGCTTTTAAAATGGGTAAGAAATACTTTATAGGTTATACATCTTACTCACGTAAATGTTTGACGAGGTCACTCAACCAGTTTCGAACAATGTAAGGGACCCGCACCTTAAGTACCTATTATGAGTGTTTTGCAGACAACTCAATTTAACAAGTATGTTTCAGGATAATCTCGTCATTGAACATAGGAATACTTTTTCAATTATTTCCAAACCCTATCTCGTTGAACACAAGCCTTTACAATGATTAGTACGGGAAGTAATGAGGCGTAGCATCGATGTTCACAATCTCACCCCCAACTAGTTAATTCAGGGATTACTCAAGTATTCTTAACTGTTGGTCGTTGGTCGTGAGATTCATGTTTTTCTTATTAATTTATTTTTGTATCTAAATAAGTAGTTTT